CCCCAAAACCCCAAAACCCCATCAACTCTTATTTTAAGTAAAATCTAAAATATTAATATATTAATAAACATTAAAAAGTAATAGAATTAAATTGGTCAAAATAAATGTTAATAAGCAGCAATATAAAACAAATAGATCCTCCTGATACTCTAAAAGGCTATTAAAAAATAAAGAAGCTTGGTCATGGTTCAATTGGAGAAGTTTGGCACTATCAAAAAGATGGATAAGACTATGCAATTAAATTTGAGATTTAAAATTCTCATTCAATGAGTTTATTGTAAGAAAAGGTAAATTTGAAGTAGATATGGAATTAACTAAATGGGAATGCTTTGAATATGCCTAAAATATATCTAGATTCATAATTTTCATAAGAAAATGGAGCTAAAATTAATTTCCTGGTATTAGACTATTATCCATAGACCATCGAGATGCTCTATAATGAAATATACTCTGAAAATGATGAAAAAAGGTTTGAATTAGTAGGGCATGCAATAAGATTATTGAAATATCTTCACTAGGAAGCTTTTTTTGTTAATCGAGATATTAAACCTGATAATTTTATGGGAAAAGATGGCTAGCTAAAGCTTATAGATTTTGGAACAGCAAAGAAAGTCCAAGAATTAAAGATTTCTAACGAAATTTTCGTATCTGACATTACAGGCACCCCAATAACCATATCTGTTCATGCTCATAATAAATTGCATTCTCTCTAAGGTGATGACGTAATTTCTTGTCTTTATAGCATGCTTATGCTGTTTGAAATTGAAGGTCTTACTTGGTATAAAAATTGTATTGAAATGTAAAAAAATTTGAACTCCGAACAATTAAAACAGATATTAGAAAAAAAGAAAAACTTGAATGAATCAAATTTTCAAGGGTTATTGGCTAAATGCATTGTGAGAGAAATTAAGAGACTTGAAGATCTAAGGTTTGAATCTATAGGAAAGTACTCAACTGAGTTGGAGTATGAAAATATTCTTGAGAATATTAAGCTCAACATAGAAGCGCTTGAAAATCAATAAAATTAAAGAGAATAATAAGACCTAATAGATAAGACATTAATGAATTAAGAATAAAATCATGATGAGGAAATGTAAAATGAAGAATTATCCTCTAACATTTCAAAACCATCAATTGAAAATGATGAAGCACTTCTTTACCAAGATAAATAAGATAATGATGACACAACTATAGAAGAAAAAGAAAATTTGTAAAAATTCGTCAATTAATAAAAGTTAAATGATGATAATCTTGATGAGTAAAATGATGATAATCTTGATGAGTAAAATGATGACAATCTTGATGAGTAAAATGGTAAAGCATAAGGAGAAAATAATGAGTATTCCTCTTCCTAAATTTCGTCAAAACAAAAATAGTAATAATCTCAAAAAGCAAATTATAAAAAATTGAAAGGTATAGATAATCAAACCGAACATGTTAATAATTATGAATAAAATTTTCAATCTCTCTTAGAATGGATAATTAAAATCAGTTTTGGAAATAAATTTATTTTCCTAGGACTAATGCCAACATTTTTGTTTATGATGCCATTAATAGATGATCAATTGAGATGTTTATTAATAAAGTATACAATACATTAAATAAACATTGGTTATATGTCAAAAGTACTTCCCATATCTATGATCAAACTCTTACAAAAGCAAGAGAGAAAATTGTGTTTGCTGCTTTGCACTGTTTTGAAGAATAAAAGATGAATATCTAATGAATGATTAAATTAAGTTTGATAATTCTTTCAATTTTTCATTGCCAATCTTCATGAAATATAAAATTTAGCAATACTTCTACATCCTAATACTCTGTATTAATAATATTTCGTTCATTTTCAAGACTATTGTAAATCATTTTGATTAAGTTTATGATATTCTTCGATATATCTTATTCAAAACATTCAGATTCAAGTGCATACTTTATTTCACCAATCATAATTTATTTTTTTAAGGTTAGATCTGCTTAGTTGATCTATAGGAATAAATTCTTAACAAAAGGATGATCATTCTCTATTAAAAACAGCATGGTGTAGAGAGCTGATATAAGATCATCATACTAAGTGTAATGTAATCCATCATGAACAAATTTAGAAGCAGTTAGAATAGTTCCAACAAGTTAATTGTTCTATTGTTATGTTTTTACATCTTCAGCTTTTATGCTACAGCCAAAATCTATTAGAAAAACATTATAATCATTCTCAATAGGTTCAAATTCATTATCCACGTTTAAGTTTTCAAATTTTACTCTCATATTCTCAGCCTTTACATCTCAATGAATTCTGTCTGTAGAATGAAATTTGATTAAACTAGTCAATATTTTCTTAAAAAACTATCTTAATTTATCCCTTTAATACTTTATTTCTACCTTTTATACAAATTGTTTGAAAAAATCTTCTAAGGAAAATCTAAAGTAGTCGATTATCATGTAACTGTAACTCATTCCTTAGTTATTTTTAACTATCCCATTATCATATATATAGGGAATGTTAAGATCTTCTTTCAAATAATCTTTTTAAAAATGTTCTTCAATCAATTTCTATAAAAACAATCTTTCTCTTAATAGAGAGTTCTAACCATAATCATGAGCTTCTAATTTGATAGCATAAAATTATCCATCTATTTTATTGTGATACAATCCAACTATTCCGTAAGCCCCTCTACCAATAACTTCAATAAATTCATAAGTTTTGATTTTCTCTGGAAATTGTTGCTCATAATCTTGATCAGTTAGTAATTTTTCCATTTTTATTATGCTAAATGATTTTTGATCAATCTCTGAATATATTGTTATTTCTGATAAATTTAATTACTTTAAAATTTAAAGTATAGTAATCGAGGGGTTTTGGGGTTTTGGGG